TGTCCTTGAAGCAGAGAAGAGAGAGCAGAGGAAGTAAAAGGAGAGTAATACCAGCCTGCTGTCAGCTCTCCCCTGTGGAAAGACCTGAAACTTCTGTGGCCAGATCTGTGGCTCAAGGATTGGACTCTTAGGTCACCTCAGGACCCATCAATGAGCTGTGGTAGAGATCCTTGGATCAAGGGTTGCTGATGACGACATCCAGTTCTGGGCCCTGCACAAGATACGGAGAGTCCAGCAGAGAGCAACAAAAATGATTAGGGGCCTGAGAAGCATGGCTTATGAGGAAAGGCTGAAAGAACTAGGTTTATTTAGTCAGGAGAAAAAAGACTGAAGAGAGATTTGATACAGTCTTCAAATACCTGAAGGGCAATTACACAGAGGATAGAGATAGCATTTTCTCTGTGGCTGTAAAGGAGACGATTAAGAACAATAGCCTCAGACTATAGTGGAGAAAATTTAGGTTGGAGATTAAGAAGAACTTTCTGATGATGGTTCTGACTGATGGTTAAGCATAGAACAGGCTATCTAGAGAAGCTGTGGGATCTCCAGCCCTGGACATTTCTGTCCACTTCCCTGTACCTTGGATATGAGCAGCTGTCAGAGGCAGAGGATGGGCATAGGGACCCAGCAGCAGCACATTGCTACAGAGGAGGGAGCAATCTAGGAGGCTTCAGCCACAAGAGTTTGGTGTGCTGACTTTCAGTGCTGCTCCACCTCCTTTTGTGCCAGGGAGCTTAAAGCTGCTGCAGCTCTTTTTTTAATGGAATGGAAAATGTTTTTAAGGACTTTTATGGACAGGGCTTTCTAGGGTAATGTTTTACAGAGTGTCCATAAATTTTATGGGCAATTGGCAACCCTGCCTGACACCTTTGCTTAAGGATCTCCTGGATGCTTATTTATCAGAGGGAATCAAGAGGCAGCTTTACAACTAAAGGATGTTGAGAGGTTTAGACCACCCTAATTTATTGATGCATTGTGCTCAGCAACAGTAATGTGCTTGTTTATCTATATTCAGTAGACGTACTAAAGAGGGAATTTCAAAATTGGAACTAACCTAATAAAGCTAAACAGCACAAGCATAAGCACTGTCATCTTCTAGCCATATGGCAATATAGATAGAATTAGCCAGGCCAGAAAGAAGGGAGAGGAAACAGAGGAGTGTACCTGACAATAGAGGCCCTCCACACCCATGGACTCTCTACCTTCGTTATCTAGTCAGGGGGAACTAGGAAACAATGGGGTCCAGGCTCCTCCTTCCCTCATTAATTTAACCCTCCTTCAAGGCTTTGGGGCCTCTTGCTCTCTTTAACGAGGTGTTGTAGAAGTGCAGCCGCAGCAGTCAAGGGTCCCCCTTCCAATTCTCAGAGACTCTGGCCCAGTCTTCCTTGAGGCAGTGAGGATACAGTAGCTGTAGTGGGTAGAGGTAAACTGGCTTGGGGAGATAAAGACACTGGAAAGATGCAGAGGGGTTGGAGCAAGGGGCCATGCTGCCTGCTGCAGGTGTGAGCTGATAGAGAGGCAGAGTCACAGAATGAACTCTGGAGGGTGCAGTCCCAGAATCTACTCTTCTGATGACACAGAAATGATGGAGTAAAAGGGAGGTGATGATATAAGTGCATTTAGAGTTGCATGGAAGCCCAACTGGGACCTGTGTACACCAGGGTTGGGAATTATTAATTTCTTACTGTAGGGAAAGAGAGCAGGAGTAAGCCCTCTGGATGGTGCTCCAGGGGAAATTACATAGGTATGCACCTCTAGGACTAGGGCAGGAGCAAAGCAGCCCCATGAGAGGAGATGAATTGGTCATGTCACTGGTATCTCTTGTCAATAGGCTGAGGGGGAGGAGGGACAACCTGACACAAACAGTATTTCTTTGGATGAGTAAGTACAAGTAAACAGTGTGAATGTGATCTACCAGCAAGTTTTTTGAATGATAGAGGCTGGTGTCTGGAAGGGTGCACTGAAGAGAATCCAAATATAAGTAGGAAGCACACCTATTGAGGTATTCAGTCCTACATCCTTCTCTGCAGTGAAATTACTGTTGGATACTAAAGCTGATCATAAGAAATCTTATGTAAGACCTCCTCAACCCTTGCAGGCCTGTTTGTCAAAGGCTGTTATGGAAAAGCTTTAGAAAGGAAGTGTTCACACTTTTTTGTGAAAGTAGTTTGGAGGATATAGGGTCATAGGAAAGTAGGGCTAGAAGGGAACTCATGAGATGATTTAGTCCAATCTCCTGCTCAAGGTAGGATTATCCTTGACTAGACCATCCTAGCTAATCTTGGGATATTTTTATTCCAAGACAAACACAGATGCAACTTTATCCTAGGACAAAGCTGTTCCTAGCTCAAGACATTCAAGGTATAGTGTCTATCTTTGTGAAAAACTTTCTTTAGGTCAATTCAGTAATTTCAAAAGGTGAATTGCATTCTGGTCCCTGAGGATATAAGATTAGAGTCACACTGAGATGGTTTATGGTTTTAGTTGATGCTGCTGTGCATAGAGGTTATCTGTATGTAAAACTGTCATGTGAGAAATGTTTGTTTTACAAAATTCTGTTTGGTCCAACACTGTCCCTTTTGGAAAGAAGGTGGATCTGTTCTCCTTCATCCCTGGAAGACTTCATTGGAGCTATTAAAATGTACTCTTCTCTCAGTAACACACCCTAATTTTACAGGATTAATCAGCTACTTATGGCATCTGCTTTGTTTTTAAAATAAACATTTTAAAGCTTAACATCTTTATTTAGTTTCAGATTCTTTTGATGTCAGATGAGGAACTGTTGCATTTAAGTTGAGTTCTGAATTTGGGACTGAGTCAGTGTGTTTGGTTTCTAGTGAAAAGGGTGTTTTTAGCCATGTAATTTCTTTAAGTTCTAATTGGTTCCATACTTCAAACCAGAAAGCATCTGGAATGTTTAGAAGGAAAAAATTGTAATTACTCTAGTTGTTGCCTCCCTTGCTCACTTTAGCTTGGTTTTGTTATTGCCTAGAACTCAGAAGTTCTATCCAGGCCCTAAAAGGCATTTTTTGTGGTAAGAATTAAAAAAATAAAACTAAATCTAATAGCAGATTACAAGTTTCAGTGAAATAGTATTTTACTGAAGTCTTAATATTCAGTGGGCTTGTCTACACGTGCATTTATGCTGGTTTAAAATTACTGCACAGTAAATTACTGCACAGTAAGTGAGAATAGGCCGGCATCTATGTGCAGGTGTTAAAGCGTATTAACGCTTGTGTGTGGATTTATTTGGGATTAAAGTTAGTCCCAAGTCAGTCCACAGACAGTGTTACTGCACAGTAAGGTGTCTACACATACATTACTGTGCAATATCTAATCACATGTAAATTTGATACCTGCATGATACAGGTATCAAATTTACACCCAAATCAGCGTAAATCACCATATTTACTGCACAGTACGGGTTCACAGTACTGTGCAGTAACTTCAGTGTCTGTGTACATGTAGACATGCCCAGTGTGTATTTAGTATCACAAATTGAAAATTTAAAGAAGTTGGTCTACATTCTATGAGGGAATGTATAATGTGAACACAATATGTTTGTAGAATAATTTTTATTAATACCTGAAAGTCTTATTTAGAACAGTGAATATGAAGTCTCCTTTATTGCAGTTAGTGGAGCCACAGATACTCAATCTGAATAAGTTTGAATGATGTTCTCATTTAGGTTTTATAGATTAAAAGTTAAATAACACTTTTTCTCTTGAAACTGTAGAATTCCACTGCCAGCGAGGACTGCACTTGGGACTGTGCCCAAGAAATCCAAAGCTGGCAGCAGTGTATAGAACCCAGTAACTGGTTCTTAATTACAGTGTATTTTGTAAAAGATATTCAGACTCCAGCTGTGAAGAATTTCCCATGTCTTTTGGTAATCTGCTGCAGGAGTTGTGCAACTTTACAACAGTGAAAGAGAAGCTTAAAATTCTAAAATCTCATTCTTGTTAATCAGTTAAGGTACTGACCTTTCTTACAGTTGGAGTAACTCGTTATCAGTTTCCTGTACCAAACCTTTCTTAGTGTTGGGGACAACTCATTATTTATTTCTTGTACTGTTTTGAAGGAGAAATAGAAAGCTGTAAGTTTGTTAGTGTCCTTATGGTAATGTACATTCAGTTGCGTAGACCTTTACCTACTTAATAGGAGTTTGAATGTAATAAACTATTTGACTAAAAATAGGATTTTTAAAACTGAATGCGTTTCTCTAGGCCTTAGAAGCTTTAAAGAAACCATTTTTAACACCTTCATTTTTCAGAAAACAAAATTAAAACCTTTTGCACTCTATGAAGGAAGAACATGTGAGCTTCAGAAAACCACTTTCCTATTTGTACCACAGTATCTGGTTTTATTTTTCCTGGGACGTTGAAGGATTAAAGCAGATTATAGTGTTGGGATAATGTCTGACTCCTTGTTTTCCATTTAGTCATAAGTAAAACCCTGAAAAAAATTGAATGTTACTATGTTGATATTAGCAAAAGCCTGGGATACAGTCTGACCAGTTTAGAAGCATGATGTCACTTACATTGATGGGGATATTGTGGATGGAAAGGTAGAAATAGCAGAAAAGGAGTGTAACTAATGCTGCTGTATCTCTTTTTTTCCTGCAGCCCTAACATCATAACCTAAAAGCCAATAAGTAAATTACATTGCAGTAACAAAACTAAAAAACCCCCCAAGCCCCCTTTCAGTCTGTTTTAGTAACTTAATACAACTGACCTTCCTAACCATGGAAATTTTGTATTTTCTTTGTTTCATTTCTTGCTGTAACGTTTTTAACCATAGTAGGAAAAAGGCTTTAAAGATGCTGTTTTAATTGTGACAAGTTTATATAAAGTGTGTGTCTGAAGATTAACAAAAGGTTAGAGTTAATTTCTTTACATATCACTGGAATTCACTGTGGATAGCTTCTCCTTTATTTTTTAAGTTCTAAAATTATTTGAACAAACTTCTGAAGTAACTATAATTTATTTTTTACCTTTTAGCCTTTATAATCTGGCTTCACTGGAACTCAGAGAAAATTTGCTGACATATTTACCTGAGTAAGTTGCCATGCATGTGTTATATGGTAATGTATGCTTTGTATACATTTTTGCATCGTCAGAATTTTTCCAAGAGCTGAAGAAAATGTTTTCTTTAGCCATTGGTGTTTTTGGTTATGAGCTGCAACTTTGCCTTTATGAACTTTAGTTGCTACTTGTTAGGAATGAGGAGTCTGAAGGTTGTGTGCAAATCGTACTTCCCCAAGTTCAGCGTATTGGAAACCTAACACAAATGTGTTCTCTTCTGTGTAAATATTGTTAAGTGTGATGGAGGTTTGGCTCATTTCAGGACTAATAATTAATAGTTAGGCAAGTGAGGGTAGGACTAATAAAAACCTCATACTTCAAAACTTTAACATTTATTTTGGATTGTACTAAAACTGTGTGGAGCTATATTAGGGATTGAATGATTTAACAGAAACTTTACAAAGATTGGAGATTAAAGCCTCTAAATAGAAGCCAAAATGAAAGACTTAAGAGGGCTTGCCAGCAACATCCTAGCAATCAAATCCCACTCTCAGCTGCTGTGAAAAGTGCTGGGATTTCCAACTGCACCACATTCAGGGAATTGTTTTTCTTACATCAGCCCCTAGTTAGCAGACCACTGACTTTTGGGGGTTTCCTGCTTTTTCGTTACTGGAACAGGAGGATAGTGTTCTGTGTGTAGTTTTGTCCTTCCTTCCCACGATTCCAGTGTTTCATATGTGGTTTAGGGTGTGGGTGTCAAAGAAACGGCCTGCTGGCTAGATCCAGGCTACAAAGCTCTATCGTCCAGCCCGCGATGCTGCACGTTGGTCTCTGAATAGATCTCGCACAGCGTGCAGCACACTCTGGACTGGCCCCATATGCTACATGCAGCATGTGGTGGCCCCAGCCCCACACTGCAGGTGGTGCGTGAGGCTGGTCCAGGCACATGCTGTGGGTGACATGGGGCAGGGCTGAGTTAGAGCACATGGGGCAGTCTGTGGACCCAATTTGGCCTGTGTGTTGGCCCCATGCCCCTCATCGCACCCACTGGAGCTTGTGAGTTTGATACCACTGATGCAGAGAGTAAGAGATCTCAGTTGCATGGTTATTGCTACTGCTAACAGAATGGGTTGCCTCCAATAATCTGCAACTTTCTGAATCTTTTGCATTTCCATCTCAGATTTACTGCTGCTCAGGGTTATGAATAGCAGTAATAAAACTGACCAGTCCAGTTCTTTTTATAATGCTACAGATGGGGGAGAGGTTCAAACTGCTCTAGAGGTGTCAGGAAGTTTCTGCTGTATCCATTCAGAGGGCTTCTTGTAAAGCCGTTAAGTGCTAGAAGTCTTTTTAAATCCAAGCTGAAATTATCTTTGTAAATTGATGGCTTTTCAACTAGGAAGGATTTGTTTGCTGTTGGTGAGCAGGCAGACTAAGTCCATTTTTAGTTTATGTGCTTTGTTAAACTACTTCATATGATCTCTGTAGAATTGTACATTCAATTGTGCAGTTGTTTTGGATATATTATGGAGGCTTTCATCTGACTTCAACTATCTGTGGTATTGACCATGGTACAGACTGGTGATTAGAAATATGGGCAGTAGTCTGATTGCTTTATAGTAAGTTTTATGTTTCAAAGGCACTAAATTATGTTGACAAACCCAGTGTTCTACAGTAGTATTTTAATGTGAATAAAATAACCAATAAAATGCTTTCTAGAATGTGTTTGAATTCAGAGTATAGTTTGTGACAATATAGGTTCAAATATTTAGGGTTGCTGATGATTTTGTCTAACATGGTTATTTCATTTTGTCTCTTCCTACAGATCTCTTACCCAGCTACAGAGACTAGAAGAACTTGATTTAGGAAACAATGAGCTCTTTCACTTAGTAAGATATGTTTTCAATGGAATATTGTATTGATATCCTGTTATTCCTGTGTCTTCTGGAATTGAAATATCTAGAGCAGAAATTTCCAAAAGTAAAAGCAATGATAATTATGAAAACTTTATATTCTTTGTGTGTGTGTGTATTTATACATACAGATGCACACACCTGCACACAAGATTATTAATCTGAAGTACAAGTGTGGTTGGGTGCTCTGCCAGATATTACATTTATTTAATTGTACAATAAATTGTAATGTGCCACACGTTCAGCCAATTTATGGTGTGATAAAATAACAAACTAGCCACAAATATGTTCCAGATGAAATCTCGAACATTACTGTGGCTGGCTTTTATCAGTAATTTGAATGTGTTTTGTTAGTGTGGTGGTATAATAAGTCCTGAATTGTCACTTGAACATGTACACTAATCTCTCCCTTGTTGGTGAGGGCATTAAAATATCTGAGACTGCATCACTTCTTCCACCTCCTTTATTGGCCTTCTTTACAGACTTTATTGGCCTAACACAGAGTTTGAGGGCTTGGACAGATGGTGTCATTTACTTCAAAGCAGATAGATCTATGTCCTATTTCCAGGTTGCTGCTTGCATCAGGCACTGCTGTAGTGCTTTGCCACTGGATGGCACGGGAGCAAATAAGATCTGGTTTGCATTGAGTATATAGCTTCTGTGGAATGGAAAGAGGACAGATGTCTACACTGGTGTATTTTACACTAATGAAAGTTTTCCTGGTGTAATTCAACACTGGTTTCAAGTAATTTATACCAGCGTAAGGGTTTTTTAATCTCCTATCCAAGCCCTTTATCAAGTACCTAAATGACATATTGGATTCCTTTCAATGTATGTAATGAACACATCTTAGTACTTGTGGTTATACTATGTCACATTTTCTAAATTATAACTGTGTGGTTTTACAAATAGTGCTCAGAACAGGTCACTTATTTTTTGGGGCTGCTGCCTCAGGGTAGCAAATTTTTTATCTGTTCAAATGCTATAAGTACTAATACTCTTTTATTTTTGATTAAATGTTGCAGCCAGAAACCATTGGTGCACTTTTCAATCTTAAGGATCTCTGGTTGGATGGAAACCAGTTATCTGAAATACCTCAGGTAAAGCAGAGTTTTAATATGTTTTGTCTTTAAAAGTAGTTTTATCTATTTAAAAGCTTTTCTTGTGCAGTAAAAGTGAAAATCTTAAACAAAAGTGATATTCTTTTTCATTTCTTGTAAATTTTTAAATTACACAATCTATTAGAGTTTTTTATGTAGTATGGAGAATACCTTTAAGATATCTACCCATTAATCCCACCTCTCAACTCTAGAGGATGCTGTGAGAAATCTATCAGATGTTTGTATTGGAGAAAGTGGTCACATACTGACAGAATATTTTCTTCTTCCAGAAATCAGTTAGGCTCAGTATTAAGGCCCCTGGCAGACGTTAATATGATTACATGATTTGATTCAGCAATGTTTTGCTTGATCCCAAAAATTGTGTCCTGGCATTCCAGATTGAATAGCATAACACACAACTTTTGGGATTGGGAATAAAATTCCTCAGATCCCAATCCTGATGTCTAGACCTTCAAAGGAAGCATGATGTCAGGGACCTACCCAGGGATCTGGCAGTGGAGAGCCCCAGGTCCCATGCCTGGGGCTTCCCCATGGCTCATTCCAGATATTGGGTATGAGGCATCTGTCCCAGACCCTGGGGCTTCCCCATACCCAGTCCTGACAATCAGCTGATGTTTGAGATGGGGCACAGGCAGCCCCAGGTATGAGACTTGGCACACTCTTAATTTAAAGCATGATACAAACCAGCTGTGGAGATGATCCATGTTAAATGTAGACTATCTTTCTGGTCAGCTTACCTTTATATTGTGCTGTAAATTGGTTCAACGTGTGGCATGTTACAGTTTGTGTAGTTCTATTAACACATTGATTATGCCACAGCTATAATGGCTACCAGGACCTTAAGGCTCAAGGCTCGGGGAGTAGTGCACCACTACTTAGAAAGTGTTCTTGAATTAACTCTATTTTTCACACTTGTCTAGATGCACTAGATGTTTGTGTGTGAACTCTACATCTGTAGGGTTATTTTTATTTGTTTCTGCTGTTCAAAATGCATTGTATAAGGGGGGAAAAGGATAATAAAACTCCTTCTAAACCAGAAGTAGAAAAATCTGATCTTGCAACTGGATCCATGTAGGGAAGTCTGTGACTGATTTCATTTTTGGGATGAGGAGACATAGTATTGCAACGTACCTGGAATCCTTCCTTTTCTAAGCATAGTGAAAACAAGGTTTTTTAAAGATTCAAGTAAAAAAAATCAGAACGTTTGCTTGCTTTTTATTCACAGGCTTGTATTCTATGTCCTAAATCCACAGAGTGGAGTGGAAATTTTGAAGGCTGTTTTTTACATTGATTTGCAATCTGATTTAGATGTTAGTTATAGCTCTGCTGATTACTCTGACCTTTTTGACATCACCAACTAGATATAATGAGAATTTATAAGCGGATCCAATTAGACTCTGCAATATTAGAACTTCTGTGGACATGTGAGGCTCAGCAGACATTTTTCTGCACTAGCCATAATTAATACACCTTTTTAATATACAGTAAACAAATGCTAAGGCTGGTTAGCATCTGTATTTACATAATTCAGTGCTCAGTATTTAAAAATAGCTATCTCTGCTGAATAACAGCATTGATCTTTAGTTTTGGTGTGCTCTTATCACAGTTATACATGAAGGTATATGGAAGCCATTCTATTGTTCTTGTCTTTTTTCCAGCTGTGTTTGTTCAGCACTGTTGAATATTTTCATGATTAAAATTCTTAGCTGTTCCCAAAATGTGTGTAGGTGTACAATCAAGTAGGGTGTACATCTGTGAACAGTATAAAAATAAAAGGTGCAAGGTTTTTTTTTCAATTGGATGTTTAAATAAACTATATAACTGACAAATTATCACTGTCAAAACTAAGTAACTGTTAATAACTGAGGACTTTAGTGTAGTTTCTTAGGTCCTTGTTGCTTTGCTAGTACAACACTTCTGAATCCTGTTCCAAAACTTGTGAAGGGAGATCTAAAGATGCCATAACTACCTATATTTAGGTATTCCATAAATTTTTATTGTCATCCAGGAAGGGCTCACCATCATTTACAGTACGTTACTTGGTAAGGGCATATTTAATTATGTGCGGTTTGGGACCTGTAGTTCTGAAAAAAAAACTTCATAGCCTTTCCTAGGGGAAAAAGCTCAGTTTTGGTTGCTGCTTCATACTATACTATACTCCTTTCCTGTGGTACCTATTAAATACATATTGGTGCAGCTAGAAGCAGCTTTGAAATTTCTAGCCTGTGCTGCTGTCTTCGTTTTGCTGTTGAACCACTTTTGTGTTATGCAAAAGCAGCTGTTTTTTTTTTTCCCTTCAGTATTTAGAAAAGGCCTCACCTTCCTCCTGACTTCTTTCTGGGATATTTCTTTAAAAATTGTGGCATGTTGGAACATGATTTATTTTTTGTCTTAACATAACACAGGAAATAGGAAACCTGAAAAACCTGCTATGTCTGGATGTCTCTGAAAATAAATTGGAAAGACTTCCTGAAGAGATCAGTGGTCTGACTTCCTTAACAGATTTGCTTGTTTCTCAGAATTTACTTGAGGTGCTACCTGATGGCATTGGTAAGTACAAAGTGAATATATTAACAGGCAAATACTTGATTTTTGTCTGAATGGGCAGTGGATGTATTCTAAATAGCTTTAGAAATATTCTGTGAGATATGAAACTCTTACCGTTTTAAAAATATTTAATACATGCAATCCCTTGTCAGTCTTTTACATTTCAAATACATTTACTTCTTCTGTAGTATAGATGTGGGTAAAATTATAATTAATTTGGTGAACAACATATGACACCTACTATCTGAAGTTCATTAGTCTATTTCCAGTGTTCAGCTATACATACCAAATCACTGGGGATGATTTTTAGAATACTGTAAAATTCCAAAATTTAGTATACTGTAAGAACTCAATTATTTAGTAAAAGAGGCTGGATCTGCAAAAACATTTGGTGATATAAAGTGGGATCATAATGGAATTTAGGCCTCTGAGTTGAAAAACATAACACAAATATAAGCAAACTGCTTCCCAAATGAAATTTTACTCCCAATCTGCGTCAGTACCACACCGCAAACCATACTTCCCCTTTAGCTGCTTCTGAGCAGCTTGGGTATCCATGGGCCTGTTTTCTGAAGCCCCTCTCCCCCACGAGCTCCGTCCTCCACAGTATGCTGGGCCATCCTCCATGCTTTGCCTCAAGCCCTGGTTTTATACGTCTCTACTCCTCACCCCTTCCAGTCACATTGTTCCTCAGCCACATGCAGGCGTCTCCCCTTTGCCCAATGGCCAGCAGGCACTCCTTTGGTGCAGACCCACACAGCAGGCTTGGCTTGCTGCACTCTGCTTAGTGACAGGGCCCCTCTGTCCAGTAATTAGTTCACATATCTACAAAGGAGAAGTCTTGGGTTTAGTTCCCTACTCCAAACATTTATGCATTTTATCCAACGACTGATTAATAGAAGGTGCAAGCAGTAAGCCTAGTGGTCCCCCACTCTGCTGAGTGGATATTCCCAGGTTATTAATTTGCACAGAAATTACTATGTACCACAGGCACTTTGGTAAAGTAACAGAAAAAAAAGTGTTATTACAAGGAAGAGCAAATAGAAAAATGAAAAGTGAGCTTTGACAACAGAGCATGGTAAAATAAGACTGGTGAAATCCTTGCCCTGCATTCAGGCTACCACCTAGCGCCATAATAAAATTTCCTGTGAAAATCTCCCAGGATCAACCTCCCCCCACCTCTTCCCTCTCTTGCTCCTCCGTAAAGGTCACTGCCTTCACAACATACAGGCAGTCCTTGACTTGCAACATTTCGAGTTGCAATGTTTTGCACTTACAACATTTATAAATTGACATCATGTTTCAACTTTTTGACATCAGTTTCAAGTTTACACGGCTTGATCTGATATGACGCCATGCCAGTGAACAAGTTTGCTGCGCTCCCTGGAGAACATCTGTCCAAACTTCCTTGGACACTTTCTTTAAGAAAGCAGACAAGACTCCAGAAAAACCTACAGCCAAGACCCCTTCAAAAAGTCCAACCAAGAGCCTCTCAAAAAGTCCAGCAAAGTCACCTCAAAAAAGTCCTAAATCAATATGATTGCTATTTACAATATAAATACATTAATGTAGCTGTATTACTTATCTATAATTGATTGCGTACAAAATTCTGGGGTATTTTTGGTGAAAATACAGTATTGGGCCTTGTTTCAGGAATCAATCCCCCATTTATAATATTGTTTTTTATGGGAAAATTGGTTATGAGTTGCAACATTTCGACTTAAGACGAGGTTTTCAGAAAACAATTGTGTTGTAAGTCTGAGGACTGCCTGTATTACACAGCCTCTCTCCCACCTGTCTTCAGGGGAGCCGGAGGAATCCTCTAGTGCAGGGGTTTTCAACTGGAGGTATGGGTATTGCTGGGGGTACTTCTGATGGCCTCAGGGGGTACTCCTCAGCAGTGGGTGCCTCGTCAACTGGCTGCTGGGGGACCCACCCCTACACACCCCCCTGGTTGCTGATCTGCTGCTGGTGGACTCCCCTCTTCCCCTGCCTGTCTGGCTGCCGGGGGACTCCTGCCTTGTTGACCGGCCGCCAGGGGTACAGTGACCCAAAAAGGTTGAAAACTCCTCCTCTAGTGTTTCTACCTATAGATCCATGACACCTCCCTTTTAGAGCCCTGTGGAGACTTAGTGCTTTACTGACCTGCTGAGTCTTGGAGAGGGTGTGCAAAAGGAGAATAAACCTGTGAACTGACAGTAATGACCCCCAGTATCTTTTGCCCCTGCTGAAGCACAGGTTAGAGTGGCTGGGATTGCTCCTACTTGCCATACGTTCTTACGGTGTGGAGCACAAAGGAGCAGAAGAGGCCAGACTCTGGCTATTTGCAGACATTAAAAAAACTAAGCAAACAAAAAATCTCACTTTACCAGAAGCAATAGTGCATTGCTTCGATCTGGCTCCACAGTGTATATATAGATTGAGTGCTTCAGTGGGGCTTTTTTGCTCTTTTAGCTAAAGCTGATTCAATCAGCAGTTAGATAAGAGTGTCAAAAAAGCCTCACTAAAGTTCCTGATCCATACAGATATTGGGTAAGCCAGGTCCAACTGGCTGTTTTGGACATGTGTTGGGCACAGTGTGGAAACTGAGTTTAAAGCTCTGTTGTTTGTTTTTTGGGTTGTTTTTTTTTAAAAATGTCTGCAGGCAGCCTCTCTCTCTAAATGTATGACCCTGTATCCTTCTCGTAGCAATGGTTTGGCTGAAACGATTGTACAACAGAGGAAGACCTGTCCAGACCCAAAGATGCAGACCAGCACTTAGTGCTTGCACTAGCTAGCTGTCTGTGTGCGCAGCTACTGTGACTGGCACAGCTGTTTGAGAATGACAGGGCCCCAGCTCATCCCTGAATGATTTTCTTTTCAAGTTTTTGGCCCTGTCAATTTAAATGTATTTTTCATCGGAAGCATTGTTGACTTGGCCAGTATTCAGCTAGTTAGTACAGCAGCTAACTGATGGGATTTATGGATTCTACCTCAGTATAAGCTAATATTAGTAATAATAGTTGGGTGCCTGAGTAATCATTTTAATGAAGTTTATTTTTAAAATGCAGTGTATGTCAAATAGATTATTTTGGGTACCGCTTATAGACTGTGAGGCTGATGTGCAGATTTCAGACACTGTGGCATTTACCACAACATGGCATTATTGGGATTTTCTTCAGTGTTTGGTGTATCCACAAGAGTAGAAAATATACTTTGTCTCTATCTAGTTTATCAGTGTGACATGCTTCCCTGTGTCCCTTTTTTATAGCGTGAGTTCAACGGCCTGCTAAAATGATAAATTATGAGAGACAGGCTGGGCTTAAAACCTTTTTGTACTGATGTTCATAAAAGGATACAAATAAGTAATCTATATTCATAGAGCTTTCATAATACAATGAAGGATTTAATATCCTCACTTTCAGGATAAGAATGTATTCTATAAATATGCTACCTTGTACAAATATAGTGGTCTCATTCATAAGAGAACAGGTAGTTAAGGGCATCTTAAAGTGGACCATGGATCCTGTACTTAACTCACAGGAGTGTATATTGATTAGTGCAACTTCAGTACAGCTTTCATTTGTTTTTAGTATCCTGGTTTTAGTTTTATGTTTAAACTTCTTTGTATATCGATCAGGAAATACTTTTTGTCTCTTTTTGCCCCCTTCCCTCCAAGTTCACACTTACTTTTTGGATTCTGAAAAGTAGACTCTTATTTGATTTTATGCTGCATTGTCCCCATGTCAAAGGATTTCCTATTGCTTAACACATATATCTTAACTTTCTATGTCAAATGGCAGATTCATGAAATATGATCGGAAATTCTTTTCTCCAAGAACACCTTTCAGTTATGGCCTTAATGGAATTTATTAAAGAGAGGTTTTCTTCCCAGGTTTACAGCACAATTGCTTTTTTTTTCCTTTGTAGAAAAGATGTATAGACCAACTTTAGGGTAGTGTTTTAATTCTCTTTGTTAATTGTTGAAGAGAACCCTATCATACTTTTAAAAACATTATTGCTTATCCATCCACTTACATTAGAGATGTGCTGCAATAATGTAACTGCAGCTACACAAGCTAAAATGTTGCCTTTTATATGCAGGAAAATTAAAGAAACTATCCATCTTGAAGGTTGATCAGAACAGACTTACTCAGCTGACAGAAGCAATTGGAGACTGTGAAAGCCTTACTGAACTAGTTTTAACAGAAAACCAACTGCTGGTGAGTATGGTTGGCCTGGTCAAATGACTGTTGCTATACATCAGTTCCTTCTGATTGTAATGTCTTTATTTTCCTGTCTTTTTTCCTGTCTTTATTTTCCTTACTGCTGCTCAAAACAATACAGGGGAGTTTCCCATAAATGCACGTTACCTCTGGATGGATACTGAAGGTTCTGATGTGGTGCAGTGAGGGTTACCACTACAACTGATGTTATGCACTTCAGTGTTCAACTGATTTATTTTATGATTAATGAGCAAATGAGAAAATTTTACTTTGTTAGATATCATGTTAGGTGTGAAGTTTGTTTTGTTCCTTTGATGCTAGCTCCTACTGCATACATCTGATGGCTTTGTTGGAGCTGAACTGCAAACGCAAATACTGTGAAGTTGCTGTTATGTAGTTCCTTGTGGTGTTAATGAGTTGCTTCAGCCACCCATTTAATGCTGAAAATGTTGTATGGAAATACAATCCAAGATGTAGTTACACTGGGACTATTTGGTGTTGTTCACCATTGTTTGATCCCAGTACTATTTCCTGCCATGGCAGGGGGTCGGACTAGATGATCTACTCGGGTCCCTTCCGACCCTAGAAACTATCATTCTCTCTTCAAATAATATTTAATGCTTTTAGACTTTGCCTGAAAGATCATTTTGGCACAATTTAAGTTTACTTCATTTAGAAACTGAACCAAAACCATTTGGGCCAAAATCTGCTTCCATTTGCAACCAGGAGTTTCACAGTTGCAGCCCAAGAAAGGGCCCTCTCAGTTATTCTTTCAAAGTGAAGCAAACTTTTGTTTTGACGTTGTGAGGCTCTAATGCTTGTTCATGTTTCACTTTGTTTTTTGTTGAAACAGACATTGCCGAAGAGCATTGGAAAGCTAAAGAAGCTGAATAATTTGAATGCCGACAGAAACAAATTAACTTCTTTGCCCAAAGAGGTATGTCTTGTGCAATTAACTACTATAGATATAACGATCCACAAACAAAATCTGAAAACAGATGGCTGTAGGAACTAGCGCACATTTTTGTTTTAAGTGAACTGTTAGAGAATACTTGTACTATTGCCAAGGTTTTGTCTGTTTGCTTGTCCAGGCCTGAACAAAAGTAGAGGAGATGTGACTATTGGTCAGTGTGCAGTATGGTGGCATTTGGACAAGAGGACCAAAGTCTCAATGAATAGTTTGTTTTAAGCGGATAATTTCTCACGGCAGATGTCAGATTCCACGCTACTGGAAACACAGTTTAAGCTCAAGTTATAACTGAATGCACTCAAACACAAGTGTAATTCTTCCTGGGTAGAATTCAGCAGATATAAAAGGAAATCCTGAGATCATTTGTCAGGTTTTGGCTGTGAAGTGCATGCTGCTTTTTTATGTCCTGAGGAAAAAGAGGGAAATTGAGAGGCTGGTCTTCTCAGAGCCTTTAGGCAAGTCTGGTTGTGTTGTTAAACAGGCAGATCTACAGTGGTGATTTGTGAAACACTAAGCTTACCAATACATCTAGTTTTACTGCTGGGATCACTGGGACTTCCTACCAATTTTTAGCAATCTATGAAGTAGAACAGAAGTAGAATTTCCTGATTTAGGATTAAGTATAATAGAGGCCTGAGAAGTTTTGTCTAGGTCAGGGAATGGCAACCTGTAACCCACTTCAACTGGCCTGTGGACATGGGATTTGGCAGTGTGGGGGGAGGGTTTCCCCTGTGGTGGAGAGAAGCAGTGGCAGCAGGTATTTCCGCAGTGCCACAGCAAAAAGAAACAGTGTGTTGTCTGGGTCGTAGCTCCTGTGCATCTCTGACTCAAACTGGGTCATTTTCGCCTGCAGCCTGAGAAGGTTGCCAACCAGTGATCTAAGTCATCGGTAAAACCTGGAAAGACAATGGATAGATGCAGGTACTGTAAAACAGAACAATCATGATGTGCTTAGAGTGTGGGACTGAAAATTAGCAGACCTGGTTTCTTATCCTGTCTGCTTTATGGCTCAGTATGATCATTTTTCTTTTCACCTGCAGGTTACTCAGCCTCATCTCTCCCTCAGTTTTTGCCCATGAAATGGGGAAAGATAATAGGCACAACAAAGCGAGGTCCTACATAGAGTTTCACAGCATTTGGTTGTCTGGTATATGCTGGTAATTGTTTAAATCTGTATCCAATCATTTCCAAAATTTCAGGCTACGTTCTAGGTATCAGTGGGCAGAATTTTAGTAATTGTGATGACAAGGAGAAAATCTGGGCCCACAGACTGCCTGGTGCTATAGACAAAGAAGCTTTGTGTTGCCTGCACATCCAAGATAGTGGTTGAACATGCTGAATGGAGAGCATCTGTCTTTCTATGCCTGTACGCTAACAGAAATGAGAGCCTTTTCATGCAGAGTATGTAGAAATAGAAGGGGGAACTCAAGTGGAAAATTGAAGGGGGTATAACATTGTTGGCTGCGGGCGAGTAGAGAGTATCGGAGGGACGGTAAGGGCCTTGAAGGTCATGGGGAAGTAGGGATCTGGAATTAAGTTATTAAATGGACCTAGTGATAGGGAAAACAGGGGCCTTAGAGGAGGGAAGGATAAGGGGTGGGCAGATCAGGAACCCAGAAGTTCTCATAAAGGAAACAGGCATCTGTAGTCTGAAGTGGTGAAAGGGAGAGCAGTTCCCTGAGGGGGTAACCAGGATCTCAGAAGCTGTCACAGGAGGTACAGAGTACTTGGCATGTAGTGGAGGGGGCAGGGAGCAACCTGGCAGGGTGTGGAGTATAGGAGAGAAATGGGGATGCAGATCCTCCCTGTCATGGCGGGGAAAGAGGAGAATGGGAGACTAGCATTTAGGGAAGATGCATAGAGGCCCTAGCATGAGTGTGATGGATAATACCAGAAATAAAGGGGCATGGCAGTGTGTCATGCACTAAGTGGTGGGGTGGGGGAGAAGAGTAAAGGCACGCAGGACAGGCATCCCCTGGTGTCTACAGTGTGCTTGACCTGCTGAAGCTCGAATGTATATGATTCCTTGGTATCTGTATGCAAATCACTGTGTGCTTTTTACCACTTTTATGTAACTCAACACCTTTTCCTGTTCACTATAATCATACTGAAATGCTGAGAATCTTGCACTAAATTCTCTGGAAAATGCTGCTGCTTCGTGGCATGTTAGCTGGTCTGTGAAATAATAGTACAGTTTTGCCTGATGTGTTTGAATCTTGTTACAACCACAATTGGCATCAGAGCAGATGGCAGTAGTATAGTGTAACCTGCCTGAGATGCACACAAATAACCCGTACAGCCATTTCAATTTGTGCAAATAGCGTACACCACTTGCCAAATCCTGTTAGTTTCTATTAGAAAGAGACTTATTTCAAATGAGTTAAATGTCCCTACTATTTTTCCTGGAACACTGGGCATTCTGTTTGTACCTCTGCTAGTACCTCATTAAAGTGTGTTGCATTTTAATTCAGAGTCCTAGCAGAAGCAATTAATCTGTCAAGCAAGTGTTTGCATTTTGTCTAGAAGCTACAGAAACAGCTTAACATTGGTTCCATAGGCTAAGCAGACCCTGCTGTACCCTGCAGAATTTTGGTTAACCTACAACAGAGTCAGGGCTGGGGAGGAGTGGGCCTATTGCCACAGGAAAACTTTTGCGTGCCAAGGCACTTGGAAGTTTTGCCAGTAGAATATTCATAGCTCCTCTGTGGCAGCTGAATCCCTCCATTTTGTTGGCAGAGTTACTTTAATGATTCATAGATTCATAGAAGTAGGGTCAGAAGGGACCTTGTAGATCATCCGGTCTGACCCCCTGCCCTGGGCAGGACAGAAAAATCAGGCTCAACTGACCCCAGGCAGGTAGACATCAAGCATCCTCTTAAAGACCCCCAGGGTAGGAGCCAGCACCACTTCCCTTGGAAGTTGGTTCCAGATCCTAGCCGCCCTGACTGTGAAGTGGTGCCTTCAGATGTCTAATCTAAACCCACTCTCTAACAACTTGTGGCCATTATTCCTTGTTACTCTGGGGGGTGCTAGGGAAAACAAGGTCTCTCCCAAACCCTGCTGGTTTCCCCCAGCGAGTTTATAGATGGCCACCAGGTCCCCCCTCAGCCTTCTCTTGCGAAGGCTGAACAGGTTCAGGTCCCACAGCCTCTCTGTGTAGCCCTAGAATAGGCTTGCAGGTTTGCCTGACAACCAGGTATATCTGATAGCTTTCTAGATGCCAAATGAGCCCCCCCATATGTGGCTGAGATTGTAAATAGAAAATAAGTTACTTCCTGGTGCATGCAGTGGCTTTGGTGCAGGAGTCACTTAACTATATCATAGAATCATAGAATCAATGAGTCGGAAGAGACCT